TGTACTCTCCAGGGCTCTGTGAGTAGCTGTCTGCTTGTTAGCTCTCATGTGTAGACCCCAGTTGAGCTGATGGGTCACAGCCACAACTTCCAAAGCAAGGTCTGGATTTGTGTTGGTGTGTGAGGGTGAAGGGAAGCTCTTCCAAACTTGGCCTTCCCTGGGTACTTGGCCTCACCTCTAGTTGTGACCATTCCTTCTGTTATTCCTTTATTCTTTATATATACCTCAGTAGCTAATCCTGTTATTATAACACACACACACACACACACACACACACACACACACACACACACAAAAAAAAATTTCTTTTTATTCTATATATCACTCTGTCTCTATACCCGTTATTATAACACACACACACACACACACACACACACACACACACACACACACACACACTGGGGCTGTAACCCAGGGCTTCATACATACCAGGTAAGTGCTTACAACTCAGCTACATCTCCAGCCCTATTTCTATATATCTATTCTCCCATGTACGTTACACTATCAGATTACCCTGTGGCTACTGACTCTTGCCTGGAATCCATATAAAGTGCCAGGCATTATTTCAAGTACCTTGCAAATAGTAACTTCTTTATACAACCCTGCAAGGTAAGTATGATTACTTGGTTTATCCCATTTTTCCCATGAAGAAATAAGGTAATGAGATAGCCACAAAATTTCCCACATTGGTCTTGTCAGGTTTGAAACCAGGCATGTGGCTCTAAGGGACTCAGTCATTCGCTTCCTTTTCCCATTGTCTCCATAACTGTTTTACAGGATTCTTTTGCACAGCCATTTGAAAGACTCTGGAATTTTCTGGAGGTATTGGAGTTGATCACATATTCCCATTTTCTTCCTTTGAATCATAATTTATCAAGTGCTTACGATGTGCCAGGTGTTGGCAGAAAGTAAAGGCAGCAAGGCAAATTATTGACTGGCTAGTTACAAAATGCTTGAATTTTTGAAGGTATGTATTCTTTCAAAAGACCAAGAATAGTTAAGTCTAATCCAAAGTTAAGTATTTCAGGTTAAAAACTGGATAGTTTACTTTTACTTTTTATATTGACAAGAAGTGCTTTGAACAGTTTTCTGTAGTTCTTTGGTTTCTGTCACGGTCATGGCTTTTTTTTTCTTTGCTGGAAATCTACATACTTTTTCAGATAGATAAATTTCCCTTAGAATTTTGTTCTATGGAAGTTGTGTGTGGCAGTTTTTTCCTGTGAAATTTGAACTTAGTGGTAGCACCAGGAGTTCTTCTAAGCTATGGGATGAAACAGCTCAGATAAAGGGGCTTCTGAAAATTAATCCAAAATCTTGTAAGAGGCTTGTGTGGCGAGAGCAGCACTATGCATTTCTCTGATAGAATGACTAGATCCAGACCAGCATGCCTTGCCTGTGGGGCTGCTGTAATGAGATTAAACACTGGTTTTGGCTGATCTGTCTCTACCGATGGAGAACGGATTCTTCGAAACTATGAACAGACAGGAAACTTTCTTAGGATTTTAAAAGGCTTGTTATAAGCAAAGGGATGGGGAAAAAATCCTTGTAATGTCTTGCAAATACAGTATTAAAATTGTGCTTCAAATTCTTACCTAGTAAGAAAAGAATTCCTAGGACTTAGAAATTCTTCACATTTGTTTTTCTCAAAATTAGAGCAACTAAGATGGTTCAGTACTGTCAGGACAGTGCTAAACTGCATTAGTTACTGAATGATCCTATTTTCTGTTATTTTATAGGTTGTTAAAAAAATATGAAAGCAAGTTGACTAGCTCTTCACATCACTTCTATTGCTACCTGGGGGACTTTGGAGTTGTAGCCCTCCAATGCCTGAATTTTACATATGACCTCTGAATGAAGTTTTTTGGGGGAAAGCCATCACATAGTTCATGGACTGTCACTAGACTGCCTATTGAGAAACAAAACTTACCCTTGGTAGACACATGAGGGCACCCTAACCAGGCAGGAGTGTAGGCAATGTGCAAAGGGAGAGCGGGTGAGGAAGAGGCTTTGTCTTGGGCAGTGGGGAATCTGGACATCTTCCTATGTAGCTGGGGACCACCTTCCTCTCTTCCCCAGTTCTCCCCTGCAAACTGGTTTAGGAAAAGAAATAAACAGATCATTGGTTTCTGCTTCTCATGACTAAGTCAAGATAGAGGTTCAAAACTAGGCTTTTAGAAAATCAGAATTTGTCAAGGCTGTTAGTTTAAGAGAAACTGTTTTTAGCTGGTAACTTTTCCCATTAACCTCATTTGATGTGGCTCCTCTAAGAATGTTTAATTATAATCCCTTTTTTCTGAAGCCAACAGAATCTCACTGTTAATAAACTGAGCTTTAAACTGGACTTGTCCCAGACCAAACCTCTACTGGGAGTGAATTCTGTAGTGGTTAAACACCCAATCATAGAGTACAGTCCCCATGGTCACAGTGCTGGAATGTGTAGATTTCCTGGGTGAAGCATACATTTGGAATGTAATTGGGAGCCCAAAGAGGAGTTTGGATTTCACGGATGGAGTCTTGATGGGATATCCATGTGGTACAATGTAGGTGTGTTTTGAAGTTATGCTCTCATCATGAACATCAAGCTGCTTTGACATCTATAAAAGATACATTTAAAAGGGAAGGAGCCATTTTTCCTGTTTTTTTATGTTAAGTAGAAAGATTAGTGTTCATAGCTCTTGGATTTTAAAAAGGAGTTTAACACCCTTTAAAAGAATGGCAAAGGCCGGGCATGGTTATGTACGCCTTTAAGTGAAGCACTCAGGAGGCAAAGGCAAGTGGATCTCTGTGAGATTGAGACCAACCTGGTCTACATAGTGAGTTCCAGGCCAGTTGTGAGTACAGGGAGACCCTGTCTCAATCCTCTCCCCCAGCCCCCCGCCCCCAAAAGAATGGCAGAATACTAGGCTGGAGGATGGCTGAAATCAGTAATGTGCTGGTCATTCAAGCATGAAGACCTGAGTTTGATACCCTGACCCCACATTAAAAAGCTGGGCATGGTGGCATGTGCTTGTAATTCCAGTACTGGGGTGGGGGGCACAACAGGTGGATCCCAGGGCTAGGTAGCCAGTTAGCCTAGCCAAATTAGGGGAACTCAGGCCAGTGAAAGACCCTATCTCAGAAAACCCAAGGTGGGTGGCCTCTGAGAAGAAACAACACCTGAGGTTGTCTTCTGGCCTCCATATACACACATGCACCCCCCAACATGAGAACACACACACACACACACACACACACACACACACACACACACATGTAAAAATGAAATAAGCAGACACACACATACCTTGTATTTGAAGCACAACATGGCTCACACCATAATCCCAGCTACTTGGGAGGCTGAGGCCTTACAGGTTAAAGTTCTGCCTGGAAATTTACTGAGTTGCTGTCCAAAATGAAAAAATGAAAAGAGGGGGCTAGAGAACCAGCACACACACACACACACACACACATACACACACACTTTAAAAAATATCAGAATATGGCTCAGATCTCTAGGATTAAACAAATGATTTTATCAGAGAGAAGAAATATGATAGATATTTAAATGGCCTGACACTGGCACTAAAATATTGAAATCATTTTAAAATGCAGATTAGAAAATCTTCACATGCCCAGAGTGTAAGGCAAAAACCTAGGAAAAAATGTAATCAAGTTTGAACACTATTTTTTAAAGTCTGAATACTTTTCTTAAGCATTCTTTTGTTTTCCTTCAGTGACCTGGGCCTGCACTTAGGAATGTGTTTGAGCTTTCTTAACTTCAGAACAGCTTGAAGGAGCAAGGCAAGGTCAAAAGTGGTTGGGTCTAATTCTGATAAGGCAGGTACATTTTCTACCTGTCCTGTCCATTTTCTGTTGCAAGAATTATCTGCCTCATCATTACAGCTGTCGTATTAAAACTGACATTTTTCAGGGGCTGAGCAAAATCTTGCTGCAAAAACCTGTGTGAAAATCCTTCTGACTTGTAATATATAAATTCAGGGCCTCAGAGGGGGTAAACAGAGACTGCAGTCCTGAGCATTCATCTTTCTTATTTGAACGAGCACCTCTTCCTTCCTTCCTGGAATGTGACTTGACATTTTGAATTCCTATTAAATCTCTGGGTACACCCAGAGACCTGAGAAAGTACTGGAGAGAGCAAACATCCTCCTGAATTTGGCAAAAGCAGAAGCGGATGTTTGCATGGCTTGCAGGCTCAGCTGCTCAGTGGAAGAGAACCAGTGACCCCGGGTTGCCAGAAAAAATTCTGTGTGGAGCTGAAATGCCTTTGCACTTGAAAGTAGCCACTGAATCTGTAGGGCACGTGTAGCAGCAATGGAAGCCCTGCAGTTGAAGACAGGGGAGTTGAGGCTGTTTGGCTTTGGGGGCCACCATTCTCCCTCCCTGAAGTTACAGTATTTCTTCTCCACATGGCCTACATGCTTCTGGGGAGGCCCCATTTCAGTGCCAGAAGTTGACTCTGAATAGTCTCTGCTAGCTAGTATGCTAAGTAGTCTATGCTAACTAGTTGCACCCATGGATGGGCCTCCAGTCAGGCCTGTAAGCAATGGTATGCAAGATCTTTGTTGAGACTTCTGCCAAAGACACTTGTTCCTCATGGGCACTATCAGGAGGAGAGCTTAGGAGGATGGTCATTGCTCCACTCTGAATACAATGTCAATCTATGGAAGAAGGGAGAATTCAGATAACTGAGAGCTGGAGCCATGACCAAACTGGACTTTTCAGTCAGTGAACCAATAATCTCTAGTCATTAAGCTAGCCTGAGGTAAAGTTTACATTACATATAAGGTTTCTAACTTCCCTGTGGTTCCCAGATAACTGGTGTATACACTGTTGGTGATGTAACCAAAGGGGTGTTATTTGTTCTGTGGGTGCTTATTCCAAGGGAAAGTCTTGTACAGAGCTTTGCACAGAAAATTCCAGCTTCTTCAAGTTTCCTCAAAAAGGGCTATAGAGAACCCTTAATAATTAGGCAGGCATCAATAAAAGAAACAAGCCAGGTGTCAAATGCAGTATATTTTAATTTGTTTCAAATAAAGCAATATATGTATATTTATATATATATATTTCAAAAAAACACCAGATGTTAAATTCTACAAAAGCACATGAATCTTCAGTGGATCACGTTTGTCTGATTTTCAACATTAATTCCCTAAAGACAATCAATGGATTGACATCACAGCTACAACATAGGTTGCTAACTGAGCCTCTGATCTTTAGCCACACCTTGATTTTCCTAATGAGTAAATACTGCCTGGCTAAAATGCTCCAAAGTCATGATGAGGAAAAGCCAACAGATCAAGCAAAGCCATGAAAGTTACGAAGCAAGCTAGAGCTGAGTATTAGAATTAGTAAAAATGATTAAGAGAGAATGACATAAACATACAGGATTCGTATATTCTGATTGACTCTCTTTTGGCAGCGAATTGGGTCAGCACCTCGGGCAGGGAACGAAAACTGAGCAGAAACTGCTCAATTCTTTCCTAGCTTAGGCCACCAATGTCACAGCTGGGACCGAAAGAACGGCGGTATCCGTCGAAACTTCTATTCTTGTGGGACAGAGATTGCACTGTGAAACCCTACCAACGTTGCCCCGGAAAGGCCTGGCCTCTGAGTTGTCTGCAGCATGCTGCCTTCGACGGGGCTTTTCAGAATGTGCTGGGGCCGCCTCTGGGGTCTTTGCCCCCAAGGGGACCTCTTGGTTTTTGGCACCACCTTTATTTTTGGGACGGAAGCCATTGTGTGGTGGTCTTCTATGTTCATGCCGGTTGTTGTTCTTCACCATGGGATCAGCTTCGTTTCCACTGCCCTGTGACTTGGCTGGACCATTTAGCCTGTTGTTGTGATACTGTGGATTAAATCTTCGTCTTTGGCTAGAAGGTCCATTCTGCCAAAAGCAGAAAAGAGGTAAGTGTCAGATGCCAAGAAACCACAGAAGACACCAGTAGACACAGGGAAATCTACTCTCTAAATCACAGGTAAACCTTTTTCACATCATGGCAGAAATGGACAACATAGAGATAGGTCAAGAGTTGATACAATCCTTAATTTTAGCACCACAGTCTTGTAATGGAACTGGAAGAAAATTATTGGTCTTCAAAGAGAGATAAAGAAGCAGAAACAGGTTATCACAAAGTAGGCCAAGGACTGGAGAGATGGCTCAGCAGTTAAGAGCACTGGCTGCTCTTGCAGAGGGCCCACATGGTGGCTAACCACCAACTGTAACTCCAGTTCCAGGGGATCCAATGCCTTCTTCTGGCCTTCTTGGGCACTGTACATATGGGTGCACTTACATGCAGGCAAAATACTCATGCACATAAAATAAAAATAAAATGTTGAAAAAGTAGGCCAAAAAAAAAAATCATAAGGTCTGCTTAAAATGTAACAAAATGAGGGCCTGGAGAGTTGACTCATGGCTAAGAGCACACACTGCTCGTCCAGAGGACCTGAGTTCAATTCCCAGCACTGACACTGGGTAGCTCACAACTGCCAGTTCTAGTTCCAGGAGGGCCCCGTGCACGCTCTCTCTCTCTCTCTCTCTCTCTCTCTCTCTCTCTCTCTCTCTCGGTAGCTCGCAACTGCCAGTTCTAGTTCCAGGAGGGCCCCGTGCGCTCTCTCTCTCTCTCTCTCTCTCTCTCTCTCCTCTCTCAAATGAAAATAATAAAACACTAAAAATGTGTAAGAAAATAAAATGTAAATGGGCAGAGCAATAATGGGTCTCTACCATGAAAATTTCCAAGTTGAATATTCTATACAGACTATATTCAATTCTAATCATATATGAAGAAGTAAAATTCTGATTTTCTTCTCTAAAGCAGGGTTTCTATTTTATTTTAAAGCAATTTCGTAGTTTGGAAATAGCACTTCAAGCAAATATAGTGATGAGGTGTATCTGGGAGACCTTGGGGAATGGAGAGTTGATGCGTGTGTTCACAGAGGTCATGTTTCTAAGTCATTTTGTAGTTCAAAGCCTAAAGTCTCTGAAAAATCATTCATTCCTTCAACAAATCAGCAGCCAAAACATAAATAGATGGTCAGCAAGGTAACAATGGGCTACACCTGTCTGTCTCTATACAAGTAAAGGTTTTGGAACTCCTTGAGGTCAACAGCCAACATTAATGAATGTGTACAGGACAAGAGGCACCCTCGAGACACTTCGCCACACACACTGCCTCATTCACCATCACAGTCATCCTTGAAGACAGCGCTCCTATTTGCTTCATGGTGTAGATGTGGTAATTAGTTTAAGGGACTTGCCTGAGAGCTACATGTAGAAAATGGTGGAATTTTATGTACTATTTATGTACACTTTATGCACTATTTCCTAACAAGAGTCACAAGTAGGTTATTACATGCACACAGACATGTTTTGAAAATCAAATTTCTATTTGATTTTAAAGCACATAATGTTGTGAGTTACAAAAATCTAAGGTTTTTGATTTGTGCGCTGTGACTATGACTAGTGTAGGTTTAGGACACAACAGTACCCAATAATCTAGGTCCCAGGGCAAAAGGACCAACACAGGACCACGTCTATTTGTCTGAATGTTTTATCTTCCTTTGGATGCGCCTCATATTGAGGGCAAGTCTTGCACATAGGAAGACGGGAACTCTAGCCTTTGCCTAAGCTCACCCCTAGTCTCATAGCAATTATCCTTTGGATGTAGAGGTGTGCAGACCAGCAGCATGTTCTGCCCTAAGGCAGTAGACTCGGGAAAGTGCTCCAAACAGACCCTGAGAGTAGGCTTGGGATCGTGTGAGAGCAGAATTCCAGGGTCTGAAATACTGGGAGTGTGTTCCAGAAGGGAGGTGTGGCTTCTGGGGAGGCATGTCTCCTTGGCACCACTGACCCCTCACCCTGTAGAAAGGGTCATGCTGTGGGGCCCAGAAGGGTTTCTGTAAAGCACAAGGGCCCTTCCTGCCTAGGTCTACACTGTTCTGCTTAGATGTTTAAGTACACTTCCACTTGAATGAGCAATCACCTTCAGTGCTCAATATCTACATGGTAGCAAAGAATCTGGCCTTCTTTGTTTTTAAAGAAACTGACAAAAGGATACTCAGATTACATTTTAGACTTACTTTATCTTGGAGTTTAATAATAAGCACGAAACAAAATCAGTGAGGATGCATTTAGCTTATGAGTTGTTTATAAAGTGCTCCTTGTCAATGCACTACTTTAAAGTGCATGACATTATTCAGGACCAGAGAAATGCCTGTCAGTGTCATTCACAGGAATTCTTAAAAGGTCAAGACAATAAGACCCAACAGGACACCTAGAAAGCCAGTGGTTTAGTGGTTTGAAATACTGAAAAAGCAAGTTGCAGAAATCATGAAAACTGTCTTTATAGTATGCCCAGTTCCTGTGTCATCAAATCCCATTTTCTGTTCATTTTCTAACCATATGGGACTGATCAATCAGAGAATCAGAAGAGAGGGAAGACTATCCTTTAGAAAGCTGTGTTTTTATAGAGGTCATGGCAGAAAGGATGAATAAAGTCACTTTGAAACATGTTGTCTTTACTGAAATCCCAAGAGAAAGGAAGTTCACACTAACTTTGATCTCCTACTGATCCACCAAATGTAAGTGGGAATTAAATTATCTCAACAACAACAAATGCCAGGTTCCTTTCTTACTAGTAGTTTCAGTGATCTGGTTCTGAATTTTGTTCCTGCATCTGTCCAGGTCCACATATGCCACCTATGGATGGTGGCAACCAAAGACATGAAGGGAGCTGTTTCAGTTAGGTACACCTGCTAATGCTGTCTGGAGTACATGAAGGGCACTTTCTCTACATGGGAGGAGCCTATGAAACTTGAACTCGATGAGGCCAGGCAGTGCTGTGGGGGCTGAAGGGATCCCAGGCAGGACCCCAGGGAGCTCAGTGGTTAGTAGTTGCTATTTCCTTCCTCTAGAAATGAATGGTTTCTTTCCTGGCATCATACACCAGGATCTGTTGGGTCTCTGCAGGTAGCACTGTGAGGCCCTCCCAGAGTGGCTTACCTGCTTGTTAGGTGGCATGGTCTGGTGACAGTGGTCGGCAGTGTTGGGAAGACCGCTTGCCATTTTTGGGTTTGCTGCTTTACCTTCAGAGGGCTTGTTATGATTGAATGCTTTCCTGGCAAAGTGGCCCTGTTTCCCAGAGGTTGCTGCATGGGCATTCAGCAGTGGCAGCAGGGAGCTGCAGGGAGTTCTCAAGGAATAGTTGTTCTTTGGATGTGTAACTGCAACAAGAAAAGGTTTGGTATTAAGCGCTGTGCCAAGAACACTGCTGCCTCCGTACCCATTAGAAAGTGTAAGGAGATGAAGAAATTGGCAGGGGCTCCATACAAACGTTAAGGCGATTTTTCTTTAAGATTCAGTTTGAAAGGGTACCTTGGTGCTTAGAGACCACCAAATTTCTCCTGTGAGAATCCCTGAACAGTGATTACAGCAGCAGCATCTGAGCTGAGAGATACTTGCAGGAAAGAAGACATATCTGAGCAACTTAAATATTATCCTTTAGGTCAAGAACCACCACGGGAGGGGAGATGACACCATGATGTTCCATCTTGGCCCTGTCTGCAAATGAATTCCTCTTCTTTGATTCCCTGTTACACACCAATTCTTGCTGCCCTTATTGGGTCCCTAGACTACTTGGTGTTTTGACACATGAAGATGTCAGAGCCACAGTATTCAGACAGCATGGGAATAGGGAGATGTTGAGTATTGGGAATTTTGTCACTCTGGATCACAAACATTCCGGACCACAGAGAGGCCTTCCAGCCCGATACATCTTGTTTTTGTCTTTTTTTTTTTTTTTTTTTTTTTCGGAGCTGAGGACCCAACCCAGGGCCTTGTGCTTGCTAGGCAAGCGCTCTATCACTGAGCTAAATCCCCAACCCCACGATACATCTTTTATATGCCACTAGGTCTACATGATCCAGCCTTTTAGCTGTAGATGTGCACCATTTCCGGCGCTGCTGGCATGCTGGCTGATCTCGCAGCTCTCTCTCAGGCACACAGTCAGGTCAGGCAGGTCTGCTCAATGCTTAGTCTTGTCAGTGCTGTTGTTTTTGAAAGTGGTGGTTTCTGGCAGGAAGATTTCTAAGTGATTATGCTGACTTGAGGCCAGAGGGGATCAATTCCAGGATAAAGCCATGAGTTTCCTCTTAAAGCTCACTAGGATCTGACTGCCAGGCTGGACAGTGAGACCTTTCTCTGAATTTTAAAATTGTCACCAATTTTTAAAAGCAATTTTCTCTGTTCTCTTTGTTGGATCAGACTTAATCTCAGGGTTTGGCAAGACGATTAGGAGTGACTGGTAGGGCTCACAGAGCATTAGAAGTAGACAGGACAGGGCCATAGCTCCACTTTGTAGTAAGGTGTGATAATGACTTGGGGCTGCCCAAACACAGCCAAGGGATTTCAGCAGCTCCTGGCTCTCCAGATTCAGTTCATGGATCTTTATTTCCTGTAGCCACTGGTTCCGAGCTGTAGCAATGCACCCTCTGCAGAGCCAGCAAGAAAGGAGCTTTGGGAGGATTACTGTTACAAACACCTGAGGCTGCTGTCTTTATATGGACAGTCATAATTTACTAAGTGACAGTTTCTCTCATTAGGTGGCATCTGGAGAGAAGTTGGCAAAGTGGCACCCCCTCTGACCTCCTGAGCTGGGTGACACAGAGTCAGAATTAGAGTCTTGCTCATCATGGGTTCAAGTGAAAAGTAGGATAGGCAGGGAGGTTTCCAAGTGTCAACCAGACTGCTTATTTAGATATGTGGCAAAAGCTAAGGATGGGGCTGGAGAGATGGCTCAGCAGTTAAGAACACTGGTGCTTGCAGAGGATCCAAGTTCGGTTCCCAGCACCCACATGGTGACTAACAACCATTCATAATTCCAGTTCCAGGGGATCCAACACCCTTTTCTGACCTCTGTGGGCATTGCATGACATGAGTGTACTTACACACATATACAGGCAATACACCCAGAGACATAAAATAAAAACAATAAACTATTACTAAAAAAGCTAAGGATGGAGGATGGTCAAGAGGTAGATTCTTTCATAAGGGAGGGAGTATATACAGAAAAAAATAAGAGACAACTGCTGAAGATCCGTGAACAGGAAGCCTACAGCACTTAGAGGACTGGTTTTATCAGTTCTATTTAACATGATCAGTTATATATACTGACATGGAAAATGTTTATCATCTATTGTGAAACTACAAAAGTAAACTGTATCACCACACATTTGTATGGATAAGTAGATAATAGGTGCAAAGAAATTTAAAGGTTACCAAAAAGTAACAGCACATATTGTTTCATACAGTTTGGTAATTTTTAGATCAAGCTATGGTTTTTCTATTTAGAGGTGGGGAAAGCAATTTCCACTTTGAAAAAAAAAAGTGCAGTGAAATCTCACTGTTTCCGCTATGAGGCTCTGGACTGTTGCTGGTTTCCTCTGTGGCTGTCCTCGAAGCTGCGTTAGCAATCATTGCCCATCTCCATCTCCCCTTGTGGGTAGTCTGGGGTGGGGATGGGGGTTGGGGGGAAAGCAGCAGCCAATTTTGCTGCACATTAGCAGCTCTAATTAAGGCTTAATAGGGAACAAGACTAAGCTAATGGCTGTTGTGAAGTCTTTCATTATCTGCAACTCCAACTCAGCAGAGAGCCCAGGGCGAGGGTGGGAATGGAGGGTTTGAGGAACACAGGCCGGCCAGTCCCACACAGCAATAGCCAATCCCTCCCCAACACAACAGTGTCTGCAGAACCAGAGCAGTTTAAAATCAGAGCAGCAGTTTATCTGGAGTGCTTGGGAAAAGTTTGCAAAAGGTATAAACCAGTTGGCCTGTTCTGTTCTGTTTAATAAATCCTGGGGATTTACTGATGGGCAGTGGCATTTAAAGAGTCTAAGTTCAAATCTTGACATTTCTAGTGACTTGTGTCATGACCTTAGATCATTAAACCTCTTTAGACCTCAGTTTAGCCCCGCTGGAGGACTGCAGACCTGACATTTCTCCTATCAACTCCAAACATCACCAAGCTCACACAGAATTATTTAGCAAATATGCAAAACTCACTTTCTCCACAGAGCATGATTTGGGCTTTCAGCTGTTCGATGTCACAGGAGAATCGGGCAGCCTTCCCCAGCTCTTCATCATATTTGCGCTCACTGACAAAGTGCTAGAAGAAAGAGAAGTAAAGCAGGAGCCCCACAGTCACAGAGACGAGACACTGCACATTCTTTCACTCTGCTGACCTGGGGGATCATTCCAGCCCAGCCACTGTTCCATTAGGCCAGCCTTGGTTCTGCCCTGCCTAACCATGGTCCCCTTCTTCTGGGAAGAAGTAGGGGACTTGTCTTTCCCCAGTGTGGCTTAGAAGGAGCTGTGATGAACAAAACGTATGTCTGGGCTCATCTGTTTAGCCTTTTAGCATCTCCCACTAGAGCAATTTTCTAAGCTGCATTCCAGCAGGGGCTGCCTAGTTTGGCCAAGGGCCTGGTGTGGTATTAACTGTCAAAAGAAAATATGCCCTCCTCCCTAGACACCCACCACTATTTTAATAAGGAACTAGGAAGACTAAAAAGTCACTGTCTAGAAAACATTATCCTCACGATGGAATTTCAAGTGCGGCTATAGGAAGCAATTCATTTAAAATTCAATTTAAAATTAAGAGCTATGTGTAGATGACAGAGTGAGAAATACAGAAATAACCATGACTCAGTCCCTTCTTGAGTTCACCAGGGAGTTTACCACATGGCAAGGGAAAGAGATGCCATTAAATACAAGGATAAATGTGGTTGGTGCTTTAGAAATATAGAAGTGGAAGAAATTATCTCCTACTGAGGGACATGGGAAAGCAGTTATATAAGAGGGAACATGTGAGCCAGAACATTACAAAAAAGTAAACATTTACCAGACCCTGACCAAATTCTTAAGAAATAATCTTACTTTTACCCGATCACATAATCATGGAATCAGTGTTCTTATTACCCCTAGTTTACAGATGACAGGACCCAGGTTCTGAGACTTTAAGACAATACATAATTTATCCAAGCCACAAAAATAGAAAATTTCAGAGCTGTACTGTTCCATTCCAAAGCCTGTGCTGCTAACCATGTTATGAAAAATGGAATTTTGATAGGCAGAAATGAAATTTGGAGGAAGTTGATTTCAATTGACCTGTAATTCCATATCCCTCAATGTTCTAAGAAGTTGGGATGTTCATAGAGGAGATCTGTGATAAACAGTGAGCCCAGCGGTATACTGTAGTCTGATGGGAGGGATGGCTTATAGGGGAGGCTTGATCTATTTTGAGTTTAACGCTGGACTTACGATGGAGAAGAGGCTGGAGGAAGACAGTGGAGACAGAAAGACTAGTCAGGAGACAAGTACAATTGGCTGGCTGGAGGGCAACTAAGGCCAGAAGGTGAGAAGGGACGCCCTCAGAGCTCTTGGTACCCACCCTCTTCTCCCCAAGTTGCCTTCCAGGCCTAAGCTGGATGGAGGGGATTGAAAAATCACTTGGCATTTCTGCTGTTCACAAGCAGCTTTATACTCCGATGGGTAATACTCTTCTAGAGCTAGCGGTAACTATGTCTTGAAAATACTCTAGCTTCCTAGAAGTGAATATAAAGCTGAGGTACACTTATGTACATGTATATGTCTGCATGTTTGCATGGGTGTGTTTAGTGTACTGGGTAAACAATAATTATTGAGAAGAGAAATGAATAAACTTCACCTGCCCACTTTGGTGTAAATACTTTGTCTTGCCTTCCTGGTAACCATTTCCCCTTCTGGAAACTGCACCCCAATGCTGTTTAGAAGACCTAGTCTTAGTGGCCTACAAATCAAGGCAGTATACCCTCTCTTGGCCAAATGATGGGTGTGGCCCAAGTTGGGGACAATCGGAGCCCTTCCCATAAGGACTTGGAATCAAGGAATGTGTGCAATGCCAAGCTGTCCTGAATAGATAATCAGGGAATTTTTTCTTCCTATATTACCCAAACCGCTCTAGTTCCTACCTAGTCACAGACCCAGGTCCTCAGACCATATCTGGCTTTGTTGACTTATACTCAACATTATTTCAAATTCTACTTGAGGTTAGCCAGAATCAGTTTATATGTCTTGCAGTGGAAAAAAATCCAATAAATATACATTTGTGGGTAGCAATCTTAACATAAAAAGGGGAATTAAACTAGAAAAGAATAAACGTAAGAAGCTGCCACAGATTGCATACTTTATAATCCTTACTGTTAGGATATGCCATGTTGAGTGTATGTTTATAAACAAATGTATCAATTATGTAGGGTAAAAACCATATCCCTCATCTCAGATAGTATATGGTTACACTTTCTTTGGGTCAGTCCCGACTTAGAAAGCAGTTTGTCACTCTGCTTTGGAATGATTTATCCCTTCAAATCATGTTCTTCTTAAGTATAATGATTAGGTATTTCTTCACCCTTCTGTATTTCAACCCTGTGGAAGGGAGCAGGGTATATGGTGTTACAGCCTCAGAGCAGCAGTCTGTCAACAGAAAACAAATATAATGGGGATCAGAACTCTAGCTTGGGGTTCAGCCAAGGTACTATAGAACTGACCTTAATTTCTGCCCTGAGTTCGGCCAGCTGCATCTCTGCCATCTGACTGGCTAGATCAGTAAGTCTCTTTAGTTCTTCTGCTTTCTTCTGACGGGCAGTTAGGATTTCCACTACCAAATGAGAAGGAATGGCATGTTAGGGGCGACATTTTAAACATACTAAGTGACCGAATTTCTTGGAGTCAGTTCTCTCTCCACAGGCTGTTCACTTTGCTGGGCCATGACTATGTTTTCTGAGTTGGTCATGGAGGCAGGTTCATCCTTCAAATTTATTATCAACAACCCATTTCCTTGTGTCCTTACCTACTGATCCCTCAACAAAGTGCAGTTCCTTCTGAGTCACTGTACACATCCCCTTCTTCATTCTCGCCACTGGCATCTGACCTCACTTTCTTAATTTGGAGTTTTCAGTGTGTTACTTAGAACTACCTCTGAAAAATGACATATTCAAATCTTATTGAAATATACTGATGTTATGCCATTAAATTCTAACCCATTAGACTGTCTAAATTTTAACACTATATATAGGCTGGAGATTTAGGTCAGTGGTAGGGCACTTACATAGCATGTATGTTGTCCTGATTTAATTCCCAGTGTAGTAAGAAAACAAAAAAAACTTCTTGTCTGATAAATTTTAATACGTACTCACTTGGAGTAACTGGCTGTGTTACTGGAAATATGGCATAAAAATTGACTTTATTAGCTTTTTGTGAGTGAAAAATGTGTCTGCTTTTGATGATCTGCAGATATATTTCCGTTTTGCAAACAGAGAGAAGTTCCAGACCACAGTGTCTTGTGTCTTTGTTTTAAGTGACCCCAGTGGAAAAATTTCAAGGGTGAGTCAAGTCACTTTGAACCGGATTTGTGTGCATTCTTTAGGGTGTGCATATGTGGAGAAGATGCCAGGAAGTTCCCTGGTACCACATGTCTGTCAGATGAGCTAAAAGTTCAGATACATGTAGTAGCCCAAAGGTTACTCTGTGTGTGTGTGTGTGTGTGTGTGTGTGTGTTTCCCCAAAGATCATGGAAAACAATAGCAATAAATATGAAGTCTGAGTTTCAGCACATAAACTTGTAGCTTTCTAATTAATCATATATGAATTTCCTTTATTTGTTTTAGAAAACATTTTGAGCCTTAAGAAAAAGCAGCTTAGCCAAGGTTACATCCATGTTGAACCATCTTCCATCCTGGCTGAGCAAAGATGAACTGTTTTATTAGAACACATTCACACTACACAGAGGCAAACATTATATTTTGTTATTTTGATATTTTGAGATGTGATTTCACTGTGTTGGACAGCTGGCTAACCTCTAGTCCTCCTGCCTTAGCCGGCCAGTGCTAGATCACAAGCATGTGCTACCACACCCACCCGAGCAAAGTGATTTCTGATTCTTGAAGTTCTTCACATATAAAACATCAAACAAAAATCACCTAAAAAAAAGCTGGGTATGGTGATGCACAACTTCAATCTCAGCATCCAGGAGGCAGAGGCAGGAGAACTGCTGCCAACATGAGGCTACACAGTGAACCCCGTCTCAGAAGCAAAATCGAAGGAAGCAAACAAACAAACGAAAAATAAAACTAGAGAGGAACAATTAGTCAAGGGTTAAATTTCTTGCAAACCACAAGCCATTCATCAGACTGACATATGCTGTCTTTTTTATGGTAATATCAATACAGAAATGTCAAACATCATAGCGAAGGCTGAGTGTGGTGGCACATGCCTTTAATCCTAGCACTGGGGGGTAGGGGAGATGCAGAGGTGGGCAGATCTCAGGGAGGTCAAGGCTAGCCTGCTCTATATAGTGAGTTCCAGGCCTGTCAGAGCTACATAGAACAAAAACAAACCTTAAAACACCAAACAAAAAACAGTAATTGTAAGTCATAAAGCCTAATTCTTTGCCTGTGCTGGTTAGTTTTTGCCAACCTGACACAAACTAGAGTCACCAGTGAAGGACGAACCTCAACTGAGGAATTTTCCTCCATGAGACTGGCTTCTGGGCATATCTGTGGGGCATTTTCTTGATTGATGTAAGAGGGCCCAGCCCACTGTAGACAGTGCTATCCCTGGGAATGTGGGTCTAGGCTGTATAAGAGAGATAACTGAGCAAGCCAGTAAGTAATGCTCCTCAGTGACCTCTGTTTCAGTTCTTGCCTGCAGGCTCCTGCCTTAGTAGCTGCCCTGACTTCTCTCGGTGATGGATTGTGACCTGGGACATGTAAGCTGAAAAAACCTTTCCTCCCCAAGTTGGTTTTAGTCAGTGTTTTATCACAGCAACAAACAGAACACTGCCCAACTACATGACTGGGAAGATGCCTACTAGTCTTTCAGAATACAGAAAAACTAGTGAAAAACTTGTCTGGATGATATAAGTAAGAGAAATTTTCACTTGAACGTAGATAGTATATTAGTGAATGATCTAGTGGCACCAGAGGTCGCAGAAAAGTGGGCTGCTATTATTTTTGGCCAGAATACATACTTTGTTGGTCTATACATTACCTTATTCCATTTGAAAGGGAGATTTCTAGATTCTCTTAAAACACTGGAATTTGGGCTGGGGATGTGGCTCATTTGATAGAATCCTGGCTAAGCTAGCATGAGTTCGATCCTTATCACTGCATAAACAAGTCATAGTGGCACATGCCTGTGATCCCAGCACTTTGAGGTAGAGGCAGAAGAATCGGAAGCTTAGGGTCATCCTTAGCTATACAGTAAATCTGAAATCAGCCTTGGATACAAGACCCTGTCTAAAAAAAACAACCAACTGAAAAATAGGCCCAGCATTCCCAAGTGACAAGAGGGGCTACAGCTGAAGAGTCACTGCCCTCTGCAAATGCAGCATGTGCCCAGTGTGCCACCATCTCCACGTGGTCCTTTGGCCACATGGATGTCACCTGCCTCTATACGTCCTCATACTCATGGGACTAGAATAAGACCCAATCATAGAATGCTTTGTGTTCACAGTATCTAGTGCTTGGTGAGCCGCAGGTCACAATGCTTGCTGAATGAAGGATTCAGTGGTTGGATGAACACATTACTTGAAAGGCTATCAAAAGAAGGACTGAAATTCCTGTCTCAGAAGCCATTAAGAATGTCTAGGATCGGGGTTGGGGAGACGGCTCCATGGGTAAAGTGCTTGCTGCACAAGCACAAGGACCTGAATTCAGAACCCCAGCACCCATAAGCTGGGCAAAACAGTGTTAGCTTAAGGTGGGGACAGAGACAGGAAGATCCCTTAGCTCACCAACCAGTCAGTCTAACCAATCGGTGGGCTCTAGGTTCAGTGAGGAGAATGTGCATCAAAAAATAAATTGGGGAATGGTAGAGAAAGATACTCAATATTGTCCTCTGGCCTCCATACACACACACACACACACACACACACACACACACACACACAAATGTGCACGTGTACTCACACTCACACATGTGCACATCCATGAACACGTCCCCCCCCATACATACTCACAAAAACTAAAGAATGTATAGGACCCACAGCTTTGACTGCTTACTTATTTGTCATGATAATTCAATATGCAGATGGGATTAAAGTCTGCAACACGAGAAAATGATTCTTGAGTAAAAATAGGAAATGCTATGCTTTCTTCTTGCCAAGTAAGATAAAAAAATAATTTTGAAGACCCAGACTTGACGAGCAATAGTAAAGGGGTCAGCAGACCCACAGTGACTGTACAGCTAAACAGATCCTACTTTTCTAATGGATCATTTGTGGGATTGGTGACAATTAGGGGTCATTGTTCTTTTTTATTATGTATAACTTGGGCATTCACATCAGACAGATTTTATAAAAATAGATATAAGTGGGCTCTAAAATGGGAGCGCAGGTGCAAGATCACCCATAAGTTCTGAGCTTAAACTCATGCAAATGTGCATGAAAATGAATACTGTGCATCAGCAAGCGCTGGAGTGCATTTTTACATATAGTCTCATTAACATTTCAAAGCCTTTCATTATGAAAAAAGCTTTAAAAGTTGAGATCTAAAGCTGATATTCTTTAAACATTTTCACCTCAAGTACATCAATCACAGAAACAAAAAGCAAAAACAAAAATAGATCAGATCTTAAGATTCATTGATCCTATAATTTAGAATAGAATGCTAGGTATGTTTTGAAAGCACCACGCTTTCAGAAATCTGTAGAGGGAGACAGTTCCATGTAGCTTAGGTCTTTGCTGTATGCAAGACTTAATACTATCTATGCAACTTTAAAAATAGTATCTGGCATGCTGAAATCCATTTTCTCAATAGGATTTATAAATCCCTTCAGGTTCTTGGAAACACATTGGAAGCTTGGTTCATATTACTTGAACCATGGAAAATCTTAAGGCTTCTCCAATAACACCCATTAGCAGAAGGTATATTCAGAATCTTGGGGACCAGCTGTTGGAGTGAAATGTTTCTGCAAGCACAGAGATTCTTTGAAATCCTTATTTCTTAAAAATTCTCGAGAATTTGGCATTTTACTTTGTAATATTCCTGTGTTGATACAAAGTAATATTTTCTTCTTGTGTCTGAGAAAACCCATCAAGAACGTGCCTGTGTGGGTCTTCAGTTCCCTGGGTAGGCAGATGAAGCTTGAGGCCATGATAACACAAGATGCTATTTCTTTGTCTGTGAAATGTAATAATCCCACACACCCTATAGGGTTACTGTGTAACTAAACAGAACATTTGTGAAACGTTTAGTATACATAAAATGCTAATTTAAGTATTATTACCAAAGTGAGATCTATTCTTCTATAAAATACTTCCTTATTAAATAATCACACTAGTGTTTACTAATATTGTATCTTGCAGTCTATTACACTAAATTGGTTATATTTAACTTATTTAATATATATTCATGAAGTAAGTCCTTATGTTAGGTGTCATCTTAGATATGGGAGTTTACATTAAAATTGAAGAAATATGGTTGATGTGCAGGATATGTGAAATGTGAAAAATACTGGAGGTCACAGATAAGCAAGTAGGGTGGGGCTAGAGTCAGTTCTGTCTGCCTCCAGAGCATGTCAACTGGCTTGCCCAGGTGATGGGAAGTACTGAACTCAGAACCTACAGCACCAGTTACTGAAGCTGGATGAATTCTGCCAGTCAGTCCAGCAGTTTCAGCTCTATAAAGAAACATTCAATAAATGCCTATCAATTGAAGGAATTTTAAAAACAAGGATTCTCTACAGATGCTCCAGGCTCCACAGATGTTGGTACCACATTAATGTCCCAAGAAGGAAGAATGAGGACATGGAGGCTGAAGTCTTCTGTGGACCTCTGAGATGTGCTAGGGATGTTCTTGATTGCATCTAAGGAACCACTAGTGTCTGGTCTGTGCTGATTGTTGGTGTTCTTATCACTAGGACATGAAAATGACAAAAAAGTAATACCTAAGAAATGAAAATCCTAAGTCATCTACTTTTACTGAAGAAATCATCAAATTTTGTAAGATTAAAATAATTTTTTACTCAGGGGCATTGAGTATTATCTCACCTTCCACATTAGCTTCATTTAACAAGACTAGTTGTCATTTTAGACCTACAATATTGCTTAAGTTATTTAGAAAAATGTGTCATATGCTTGTCATAATGTGTATGTGCATATGCATGTGTGTGCATGTGTATGAGGAGGCCAGAAGTCAGTATAGGGTGCCTTCCTCTATTCCTCTCCACTGTATTTTTTGAGACAGAGTTTCTTGCTGAACCTGGAGCCCACTGATTAGCAAGACTAGCTAGTCAGCAAACCCCAGGCATCCTCCTATCTCTGCCTCCTCCGTACTAGCATTACAGGTGTATACCAACATGCTGGGCATTTTAAGTTGGTGCTGGGGTCCAAACTCAGGTCAACCATGCTTGTGTGGCAAGCTGTATGAAATGAATCATCTATTTCACCCTAGAATTTTTAAAATTGATTTTTAAGTTATCTTTAAAATCTTTTATTACATTTATTAATTTATTGTGTATATGTATATGGGTGGGTACATGCATGCTATAGCATGTATAGTGAGGTTGGAGGATAACTTATGGGTGGCTTTCTCTTTCTACTATTGGGTCCTGGGGATCAAACTCAGGTCCTTAGGGCAAGCACCTTTACCTGTTGAGCCATCTTATCCCCTTCTTGAAAAAATTTAAAGAAAAATAATGAGAGCTATTTCCCATTAAATGAAGACTGAATTATGAACAAGGTTCAGAGGAGGAAAAAATAAAAAATAATGAAGAATCTGGTCCGATCTTTCATTCTTGTACAAAGAAAGATATTGGTAATCAAAGGAAAAAGGATTTAGTTGAAAGCTGGCTAGGTTTAGATGGCCATTTAACTAATTGGTAAATTAAAATCTAGGTGAAGATGAAGAACTCAGAACACTTAGGGAAAATATTGTGGTTGTAGGGGTCCCACAACAGCAGACTGAATTCAATAGCAAGAGAGGGTTCAGCAGGCCATTGTGACTCCAGGTGGAATCTGAGGGATCTTGTCTGTACTGAAATTTCCAACCCATGAACCTCTGTATAGGATGGTTAATCTGCTCTACTACTGGTTGAGTCACTTTACCACAGTGGAAAGGTTTAGGGATAAGCATAAATAAAACAAGATGAAATAAAAGTCAGAATGTTAATAGTCTGTGTTAAATGTAAGGAAAGTTTTGCAGTGAGCAGGACAGTTTGCATATGTTCATTATTTAAATAGAGAATTTGGTTTATTAAGCAAGCTATCTTGCAATTTCAAGTTAAAATATAGAATTGATTTTCTTTTGCAGTTTCAAGTTGGCAGGTGTTGGCATATTTGACAGAGTTTGTAAACAGAATTGGAGTGTTTTAAGAAAACATTTAGTACATTTCTATTTTTGAATTATTAATCCTATACAAGTTGCTTAAAAGCTTAAGAATATTTTGCTTGTTTGGTTTGTGAGAGCATTATCAGGCACTTTAAATGCTTGAAAAGAGACAGATATATTAAACACCCCCCACTGTTACAAATGATTAGGGAAATTTAATTGACTTTTAGATGATACAATTTTTTGTTTGTTTTTCACTTTGAGAAAAGGTCTCATGCATTCCAAGCTGGCCTCAAACTCACTATGTAAGTGAGGATGATCCTGAACTTTTTAATCTTTCTGCTTTTGAGAGCTGGGATTATAGGTGTGCATCACCATGCCTGGTTTTGTGTTGCTGGGACTCAAACCCAAGGCTTCTGGCATGCTAGGCAAGCACTCTGTCAGCTGAGCTCCATCTCCAGCTCAAACAGTACAAATTTGATAATTTTTAGGTAATTGAACCTAAAAAAGAGTGAGTAGAAATGACTATAAAGATTAGTAAGTTGTAAAGAATTAAAAATGATTATCATTAAATTTAGTGCCAGGGGCTGGGTGTACAGCTAGCTCAGCTGGTAAGGTACTGCCACACAAGCATTAAGGATCCACATTTGATCCCCAGCACACATGTAAAAAAAGCTGCGCTTAGCTGAATCGATGAGCACTTCCCCCAACTTCTCAAGAAATATGTTGGAGCATTATAGAAGTTGACACCTGAGGTTGATCTCTGACTTCCACACACACCTGTACACACACTACACTCACACATACACACAAATTTAATACTAAACTCACTGCCATTTTAGATCTAATTCACTTTAAATTCTGTATGCATACAAAAGTCTCCTTGAATTTAAAGAACACTGCCAACATCTCTTATTTACTTAGTGAGCATTCTGGCTGAACGCTATGAGGAGTGTGCTAGCTCTGTCCCTCTGCCAGATGATGTAAAGATATCCAGGGAATATGTGACTTGCCTGAGGTTACAGAGCTCAAAAGCTCTGTAAAAAAAGCTCTGTAAAAAGTGTGAATTTTAAGATCCTGCTCAGTATCCAGAATCGCTGTCAGTCTGATCTACAGATTGCTTCTGGTTGGAAGGCACCATATGAAATGACCACGTATCTACTTACTGGCTTCTTCTTTAACTTTATCCATTTCTGCCATTAAGGAAACTTCTTTGTCAATGATGCTAGGGAAAAAAATTAAACAAAAACTTAAATCAAGATAACTTTTAATAAGCACTGGAAGTAAATGAAAAGTAATTTTCATTAAATAAAATACAGTATTATCCTAAATATTGTTATGCCTCAGTGTGAGCAACACTCTGTCTCTAAAGCTGCAGCGACATGGAAGTGAGGTTCCCAAGGATAATACAGTGACAGCTGCTGATTAAATCACTGTCAAAACATCTAAAAGGAAAAGGCCTTTAAGAATTGTAGTGCTCCGAATTTAAATTTGGGTGTATTTTTGTCTTATACATTCCAAAGTTCCAAAACAAATGATAAGTACTTGAAAAGCTGGCTCTTAGGTCATCAAGGACTGTTCTCAACTGTCTCTCTGAGATTCTGGCTGGGAGGGAGAGAGAGGGAGGGAGGGAGCCAGGGAGGGAGGTGGGCCCAGTTCTGATGAACACAGTCCTGGGACTACACTTGCGGGACAGTTCCAGGGTGCTCCATCTGCCAGCTCCACCAATAGGAGTCTAAGCTTACTCATTGTCCCAAATAAGGAAGGCAAGGTTCTGATGAAGTTCTTCCCAACATTTCATTTATTAAAGTAATTATCCAAGTTTAGTTCTCTCTCATCCCAGGCCCTAATCTTCTAGTTCGCCTTCCAAAAGCAAAAACTCATCACGGATATCCTCTATGTCCCTTCTCACATTTGTCTACATAATCATAGACATTAGAGGTACTTTTTATTTTTAAAAATATTTCAACATGTTTATATACATCATATATATATCTGAAGCTTAAGGACTTACTGAGATAATAACTATATTATTTTATTACCTAAAACATTAACAATAATTGAATGCTGTCTGATATCTACTTAGTATTCAGATTTCTCCAACTGTTCCCTAAATCTTTTTAAGTTTGTTTAAACAGGCTTGTTCTTATAATTGGATGAGTGTCTTAAGTGTGTCAGAAACTACCGGTTCCCTTGCATCTCCTTCTCTTCCCATTTGCAATTTATTTGAAGAAACCAGGTTGTCTTGCAGAGTTATCTGAATTCTGAATATTTCTATTCTGCTAATTATAGCTACATGGTTTTATTAAACCCATTCTTTTTGTATTTCCTATATAATTATTATTAGAGATAGGAATTTGGTAAGATTCAGGATTGAGTTTTTCAGGTACAGAGTACTTTATAAATGTGTTCCTTTTTTTTAATGTGTGTGTTGATACAATTACACACTTAAAATACTTCTGAAGAAAACTCAAATCTGGCTTTCATCGTATCTGTACCTAATAAAGACTTTATTTTAAATACAAAAAACATTCACCTGTTTGTTATTAGTCATCATTGATCATTGTCTAGATCAACAAGGCTTGCAGCATGGAAATATTTCATTTGTATCTTTCATTTATTTATAGAATCCTTCTATAGGGAGAAACTTTCCAAGGTGGGATGTAGCTCAGTGCTAGAGCACTTGGCTAGCACGTATGAAGCTCTGAGTTTAATCCCCAGGTGCATGTATCTGTGTGTGTATGTGGGGGGAGCTGGGAGGAAAGAGGGAGGGAGGGAGGAGATACTGAGATCACCAACTATTTGGTTATATAATTAAGTATAGTTTGTATATGTAAGGCAAAATAAATGTTTCATTTTCCTTTAAATTTTTTTTCTTATTGAGTCAAAAATTTCATACAATGTGTTCTGATCATATTCCAACCCTCTCCCTCATCTCCATCCTTACCTTTCCACACCCACTTCATGACCTCTGTTAGCATAGGAAAAACCCCATCCATCTCTTTCTAACCCAGAAATCCTAATGGAAATAAGTGATGTGTGAAGTGAGAGGCGGGTTCTCCATGACTGGACTCTGAGCCTACTCCCTCAACCATAGCATCAGGACTCCCACGACGCACATGGCTTAACAACACTGGGTGTGAGCACTTTTGAGTCAACAGTCCATCTGTATGTTATTTATTGACATTACATAAGTGATGTCAATATGGTCAAAATATAGGAAATATACAGTGCTGAAAGGTTAGCTGGTAAGAAGGACGTCTTCATTCCATCCCTGTCTTGGTGATTCAGTACTTTTCTCTAAAGGTCTTCAATGTTTCACATTTCTCATATTACTTTTTAAGGTCCATTTGTACAAACCAGCATTACTGAAAAATTGTATGAGACATCAGACTGAGTCAACAGACTGTGTGCTCCAATGATTACAAGGTATACACAGCTTCTCTGTCAAGTCCACAGATGGAGCCATCAGAGAGGCAAGTGTGTTTTTGTTGTGGTGCTTGTTTCATACCACTTTCTTAGAGGTGTACTTCCATGTTGGTTTAGGGAAACAAGGCTAATGGGCAAGCAGTTAAGGAGGTAAGTGAGAACCTAGAGATTTGGAGTCGGGAACTCAAACTACAAAGGTATGATTAAGCTACTCTGCTTTGCAACATGTTTTGATTTCCAGAGGAGAGAAGATTCAGTAAGAAAGCTGGAGGCTGGGAGAGTCTCCAGGGGTGGGGTGGACAAAGAACCCATAGGAGCCAGACTGCTTCCTGTGCCACCTTGAAGGCACTGCTGTGGGCTTGCTCATATGCCCACATCTTCACCACGGTTGGTGTGGATGGCTTGGATGTGCATGGACGCACACGCGTAAGTCAAGGAAGTGGCTGGCTTTCATATCTGGGTTGACGTAGGGCTGAACAGAGGGAAGAGGCAGTGCCTGAAGGCAGAGGAAGTGAGAAGGCAAAACCCACCTGTACCCCTAGAACTGGTATAAACTTAAAGTGGGCTTTGGATTTCCCCAGAACATGGAAAAGGAGGCCAGGAAAACCCATTTGGGCTCAAGGGCTGGGCAGCCCCAGCTGACTTATAAGTTACAGAAAGATGGAGTTTTAAGTCAAGAATGCAATGCTGCATTCTCTTGACAAGCAGAATGAGGCAGGGTTACATAGCGTTAGGCTCCTGTACAGGGATATGCTGCAGCGAGGAACAGAAATGGGAAGAGACACAAAACATTCATTCCTTTGGCCAGTATTTGCTGAGTGCTTGCCAAGGGTTTGGGAGCTCAGAATTACAGCTATGGGAAGAAACAAAAGGAAGTGGAAAGGACAGAGGAGGGAGAAAGAACAGAGGAAGGAAGGGAGTGGGGAGATTTCATCTATCCCTGTGGAGCCGCAATCTTTTTACAAAGCTGAGAACACAGAAGACTGGTAGGATTAGCTGGGGAGAGAGACAGGAAGAAGAAAGTGGTGTGGTAAGAAGAAAGAAGCAGCAGGCTCCTGAAGAGGCCAGGGCTCTGGGACATGCACAGCACACAGGAAGGAAAATATGTGCATGTGACAAGATTGGCCTGTCTTCAGTGTTCAGGGCTTAGGAGCAGAGCAAACTGCCACAGGAGGTCTCCTGGGCGCCACACAATCACTTGCCCTCACCACTGCAATCTTGATGCAAAGAACAGACCCAGGAAGCTGGGACAACCCCTCAGGCTGCAAGTGTGCTGGGCAGGGAGAATGCTGCAGGGTAGAGGCCTCTGTTAATTTCTTTACCAGCTACAAGATCCTGGTAAGTTTTTGTTGATGGAATTTGTTAACATAATTTTGTGCTGAGAGAGTTTACAAGATGGACATTTGGGGTGTAATGCATATCCCCAGGTAGAACACATATTAAACAAAGTGGGATAATCACACAATGGTTAGTTCAGACCTTCTGGGCTAGCAACCGGAGGAATGAAGATTTACACAATAAATTGTTAATCTGCTTAATGCACAGTCTTGGGGATGTGGAAAAGACTGGGAAGTTGGCATCACACTCTGCTTCCATTCCTGTGGGTATTTTAACAAAGGAAGATCATCCTCAGGCGGTTCAGTATTTAGCACTGCTATCTATGTATGACTGCTTTCAAAACTCCTGTGCAGAAAGGCAAGCCCAGAGATTTTGCTCTGACCCAATGTTACAGAGGCAAATCAAGCTCAGGGTTCAGTTCGAGGAGGGTCAATCTGACCATCCTCCAAGAATCTTACCAGACAGGACCTGAGGTTTCTGGGTTTTGCTTCCAAGGCATTAGACTATGGAAGAGGAGTGGATATGGCAGATGAATTAGTACAGGCCCGCCTGTCCCCTGGTAGGCTGTCAGACAGCAAGGAGCCAGCATCATATCATGTTGAGCCCCAGACTAAGAGCAGGTCAAGAAGGAAAGACCATGTTTAAAGCCTTTCAAATGCCCTTTAAAACTCAGGTGTTCCAGCCAGCTTCATGAGCAATTCTATCAGGGAAATTTGTATGACTAGTCTTCTCAGAAGGACCAGGAAGGCTTATGCTGAAGGGCTGCTGGATGAAACTCAATGGCATGTTGGATAGGGACCAAGGAGGGTATTTGACAGAACTCTAGTTATCAGAAGCAGAGGGAAGGGGAGGCCCTCTGACAGGAATGGCTTCAAAGTTTATGAGTCACAATCCCAGACAGTGTCACAGACCCGTCTCACTGGGAAAGCAGAGAGATCACACTTGCTTTCAAGGTACTTCTCTGTAAGTAGAGATCAGCCTGCAGTTGTGTCAAAGTGAGAGCAGGTTCTAATTGGCATCCAGTGCTGACTGACGGGCTAGGCCTGTCAGCTGGAGTGCCTGTGTCCTACTGGGTAATCTCACCAAAGCCTCCTAATATTCCAGGAGGTTGTGGCATGCGCCCTATGTTCCAAAGACAATGTTCCCCTCTAATATCTCTTACCTATTTCTTCATATCTTAACTAGCACTGCCTCAAAAACTTCAGAGTTTTAAGAAATGTCATCTTTATGATTTTAAGACTGTTGGGTTGCAAGTAGCTGAACGTAAAAGAAGAAAGTTTACTCATTTTTCTATGGCATATGATGAAACTTCTTCTTCTTCTTTTTTTTTTTTTTTTCTGGTCTTTTTGAGACAGGGTCTCCCTGTAGCCCCAGCTGTCCTGGAACTCACTATGTAGACCAAGCTGGCCTTGAACTCACAGAGATCCGCCTGCCTCTGTCTCCCAAGTGCTGGGATTA